TGTGGTTTAGGGCTTCTAACTTCAGATCGATTTTGGACTTCTTTTCTTGCGGATCTCCTCTAATTCCTCCAATTGGTTGACCCTAGATCCAAAAATCTCTTTACTAAATTCGTCTTTTAATCGAACTCAAGTTGATGAAGGAGAAAGTTTGGGAGAGAAGGTGCGGAGGAGCAAAAGAACGCCAATGAACCCTGGCCTCTCATCTTTGACCATAAAAACCGACGTCGTTTCATGGATTCTTTCTTTTGAACCTCATCTTCCGTGCATGCATCAACTTAGTCCCGCTAACGGCTTATTTTATCAATCTGGTCCTGTAACTTACAATTTCAAAGCCTTGGCTCTTCGCAACCAAGTCCAATTTATTTTATTTCTCTTACATGATTAATTTTTCATTTTATTGTTGAAGCATTAAAATTAAAATTGTAAAAAATTAATTTTAGTTAAAGCATTGGAAAAATTTTTCAAAAAAATACTGAGTCAAAATTGAGTCATGACAATAATAACTTCACCTAAACAATGACTACTACCTAACACATTAAATATGGTGTAGAAGTTTGTGCCATTTCTTATAGCATGCTATTGTGTTGTCATTGTAGCTCTCATTTGCTTTTTATTGGCAACTGATGCAATTTTAACATCACAATTCCAACGGTTTTTACCAGCCCCTCCAATCCAAAAAAATATTAATTAAAAAATAAATCTCCAAATAATCTTTAAAAAATTTAACGAAAACGATTTGTAAAGTATTATTTTTATTATATGCAAATATTGTAGTTGACAACTGCACTGGTACTAAGGACAACTATGTCAATTAAGCACAACTCATGTCGTACGTATACTGGTTCATCAATATCAATAATAGATTAACATTAGCCATTGACCAACCAAATGTTAGGCTGCTATCTGCGCGGGCGGGCCCTGCCTTGTAGAATAGCACGTGCAAATTGTGATGTGGTTATATGGCACAGGTAAATTGAAATAGCGTTACCGTCACACAAGATTATTTTTTTTTATATAAATAAATTAGTTATACATTTTTAAATATTAATTTATAAATTAATTTTATTTTATTATATAATAAATAATAATAATAATAATAATTATTATTATTAATTATTTTTATTGATAATTAAAATAAATTAAATTAATATTTTAACAATAGCATTAAAAAATTGGGATGGGCCTAACACTATCATGCGTTGCCATTACCATTACTGCAAATTGTTTGTTTGTACTTTATAACAACAGCGCACGGCAGCTCTCACTTGACCTACTTGCACTAATTAACACATGGGTGACAGCTTTGCAAAGATGAATTGCGCGGAGCGCCGGAGGCTTATTCCCACCCATTAAAATGTGATTAAAATCAACATTGAGCTCCTCACCTTACAAAATTAATAGGTTATAATCTCTAATTTTATAATATGATACTTTTAATATTTTATCTTATAATTTATAGATTTAAGTTTTTATCTTATAAAGTTAATAAATTTTAACCTCTCACTTTATATTATGACACTTTTAACCCTTTATCTATAAGAATTAAATAAAATAACCTTTATTTAACATCAAGTTTTAATATTCTATTAGTTTTGTTAGCTGACTGTTAGTTTTATTAACTGATTGTTAGTTCTGTTAGTTGATTGTTAACATCTGTTAGTATTCTGTTAATGAAACTAATAAATAAAATTGAATTTAAATTTTATATTTTTTATAATAGAATG